AGACATCTCAAGTCTGAGGTAGCTTAATGTGTTTAATGCGAGACAGAGAAGTACGGAGAACCGCGCCTCAGGCATTAAGTCCACGGGAACATGCATAATCTAATTATATTGGGTAGGGGATCTTACGGTACCCTCGTCTATGTATTGCTTTTCCCTGTTTCTATTTGCATCACTATTTCTCGATGTTCGAAAGAAGTGAGCTTAATAGAAATTCCAAATTATAATCGACGAAATTGATATTTTGTTGGTTTCCCAGACAGATTTTAATAGGGGAGTAATGATTTTGTCACGTGAATTTTTTTTACAGCTCGCAGTATCTGACCTCGGTAGGTACCTAAACCAATATCCCTAAGATCATTTCCTTGGCTTTCTCAAACTTAGTTTTAGTGAATGTTCATAAGCACAAGTCCTTGTTCCAGATTACCTTTTCGTCGATAATACTAGTAGCTGATCAGCCTAGCAATATCCATGGTATATTGAACCGCCTGGTAGAGTAGTTAAAGGAACTGTTACTGTAAAATTGACTCAGTTATTACGTGCATGATATTTTGCATGAACGAATATTGTTATAGAACCATCATTTACCTTTTTAATTAATATTTTTAGTCTAATTTGATGAAGAATACATTGTGATCGATATAGCCGAATCATTGGACATCGTATTTCCTTCCGGACTGCCACAATGAACAATTGACATTACAAAATATCCTTGAATTATGATATGTGTGTCACCGCGTTCATGTTTTTTGTTTCCTTAGTGGAAAATGTTTTTCAGACCTTCAGTAGACTGTTAATGATGAAGAATTTGAAACCTTAATTAAAAGTACTGCCATTACAGTTATAAAGTATGCAAATGTTGAAAGACAAGCTAATATCTAGTGAAATCACAATATATGTTCAAATAGATAGCAAACCGCAGGATTTAGTTCAATGCAGCATTAAGCTATATACATTCTTATTTTAGGCACTTAGCATCACTGAAAAATCCTAGAAATGTGCAATAATAACATATCAAAAACAATCAAATTGTTCTATTATATGTTTTATATTTCAACATCATGATCAACCGTATGTACCTTAATGTAAACCATACACTAATGTTCTAACACCGTCCATCATTTAATGGCGAACCATTATATTGCTTATTAATCTGAATGCGTGTTTGCAGTGAATTTTTTTCTTTACACATTACATACAAGAGTGGTCTATTGTTTGAAACAATTGGAAGATGCAAATCATTCCCCAAAAAGGATCACTTCAAACATAAAGAACAAAAAAAGGGAAACAATTGTAATAATAGCATATTTGCAACAGACAACCTTAATTACAATATATTACCGACGTATAGATACTTTGAAGTTATCTTGGAATTATTGGTAATCCGTGGAATTGAACGCTTGTTTTTTCACTTCTCAAATTTGAAAATATGACTTTTTACAGTATTGTAGGATGCATTGTTACGAGTTACACCCAATTGCTCAAGGACAACTTCCATATCTACGTTTACAAACAAATCAAAGTCTTGGTAAAAACCAAACCTTAAGCTCAAACTGGAAGTCCTATCTGTTATCGCACCGTTATCAGAGCCCGAGTTTCATTTACTACAGCAAGGACTAGCGGGGTACCGCTCTAGTCTAGCTTGCTACAGAATCAGTACGGTTAGTCAGCATTCTGGAATGATTAAGTAATTCGAAATGTTCAGTTAAGAAAGCTTTTCATGAAAGGTCCTAAATATCGTAAAAATCGTCAGTTAATTGGAATGTGAATTTCAAGATACTTATAAATTCTGTTAGTAACTATGCCAGAGAATGGGCAAAGTGAGAACATGTTGCGTTTGATTCACTTTCTTAGTGGGTTAAGTTCATTCGGTTCATCATTTATATAAGAATTTGCAGCTTGAAATCGGAAATGAAAACGAAACACAGTTCAAGTGTCCTCGAACATGATTTAAAGTACACTGCGAGATTTATATGACAATTATGTTATCGTGCCTGCAGTTAAGGCGTCATATAACTTGATCCTTGCTTGCAAACATTATTACATTTCCTGTATACAAAAAGAAATGGTCTTGCGTGATAACGAAGGATACATTATCAATATTTCAAAAGATGAAATGCTAGCTAATCATGCTGCGCTATTACAATCATTCAGATTGCCTATGAATGATGATGATCCGGACCTCCCCTGTTTACACCGAATGCGTAAACTTAAAACAAGAATCCATGAAAACCACCTTTTAAGCCATATAAGCAATAACTTGATCATTGTCGGCAAACATCCGTAAACTTCACAAGAATCCATATAAACAACGTTTTCTATCTGAATTGTCTAACAGTTCAATCAAGCCTTTGTCTAAACTACTAACCACCATACTAAGTGCTATCAAAGCTGGGTAACAGCCTTATTGTGATACAGTTTACTGAAGAAGTGAAATTAAAAGTATGTGGATTTTTAAAGAACTCCAAGGTGCCTTTGACCATTTTTCAACACCCTCTTCAAAAACATATTTCTGCCATTTGATTCTTCCACCCAGAAAGGTGAACGGCGATATAGATATATGGTTGTCAGCGATTCAGAGGCGTATTACATCCAAATCAAAGAAGAAATATACGGAGGACGAAAACATCTTTGTCGACTTTGTTCGTCAGATCTTCCAACATACTGTTGGCTAGCCTATGGAAACCAGCTGTGTCCCTAAGTTGGCTATTTTCATATGTCACAAAAACCCTGCAAAGTGGTTTAATTTCACCTCCAGATAGAATGATGACATCTTTTCTCTACATAACAAGACATATATTGATTACGTCCATCGTATGTATCCACGAGAACAGACTTATCCACATCAGCTGCTAATCTCGATCTTTTCATACCGGGAAAACAACATGGACAGCTTTCTACCAAACTATATAATAAACGTGATTTCAATTTACCTATAGTGAATTTTACATTTCTGGGTAGCAATATTCCTGCATCTCCAACCTATGGTATTTACATGATTCTATATTCAAGAGCCTGTTCCCAATATCACGATTGTCGTGTAAGAAGTCGTCAAATGACTGACAAACTCGCAACACAAGGGTTCAAAAGATGCAGGTTGATGAAAATTATGGGAAAGTATTATAATCGCCATTGTGATCTCATTTAGAAATATTCTATTTCTTTGTGCGACATAAAGCTGAACGTATTTGATGTCCGTGAATTTGTTTGTTGGTTCTGTTGTTGTATACGTTGCTCTCATCTGAGAATGTGACATTACTTACTTGAATTGACCAAGTTTTACATGTCGGGTGTCTTCGATGAAGGAGAAGACGCTTACTCTTCTGGAACATCTGGTCTAATTATCATTGTTTTTTTCAGGAGTTTTCCATGTAAATTTTTTTGTTCATATTTTATATATAGTTGTATGGAATTTGAGTTTGACTTATGATTATGTTGTCATGCTGGTATTTTCTTGATGTTTTCAGTTGATAGCTAATACATTAGTGCCCGAGTTGAATGAACTAAAGACACCAATAAGTAACTGACGAACCATTCAGAATTTATTTTTATGGTGATCAACTGAAGTTGATGTTTATGAATGACTGTTAATGATTCAAATGGATGTTGCTGGTTCAACAATGAACTGCATTATTATGATAAGATCACTGAGGTAGATATAATATCTTGAATAGTGAATAATCGACCTCAACACCATACTTTTTGCAGTTTCAAATAAGGTTTTCACCATGTTTTATTTCATGTTGATTAACAATAATCTTGTTCATTTTTACAATAAACGTAATCTTTGATGATTTCAACATTCCAAAGAAACATTTGGGAGATTTCAATGTGGCAACAGCACACGTAATCGTGTCTTAAGCGTGAACAATTGAAATAAATTTAAAGAGAGCGTAGGAAGATATGCAGATTATCTTCTTCATGTCCAGATTAAGAGTCGGTAATACGATAAACATCTATCCAATTAGACACGACTTTTAACGGACATAATAGGATTATCTGGCAATCAACATTACATTTGGAGGAAAGTTGTCTTTATGGGGGCAGTTGAAGCCTCCCAGGACTAAATGAAATTTAATTACATGTCACAGTTGGACAGGTTTCACCCTACGCGTACAAGGCACCTTCCAAAGTGAGGTATACTAGAGGTCAGCAGCTCGTTGCTTTTGAACATGCCTATAACACGCTCGATCAACAGAACTTGAAAAGGTTGAATATGATTTGCGATTTTCAATTTCCTGTTGTTGTTATTATAAGACAGATGTTTGACGTTTCCTGTCCCTGCCATATGTATCATAAACGCAGATAAGTAGGAATATAATCAGTTTAAATGCAGATACCCTACAATACCATTAGTCTGTAATAAAGTAATCAAGAATGACTGGTCATAAACACAGCAACAATAATCATTTTAAGTTAATTTTACTCGCATTAAAATGTCTACAGAGAAACCTCACTCCGGTGGATCAATTAAATGTACATGTACTTGTTTAATCAAAAGAAACTGTGGGAGAATTTTAACCAGTGCAATCTTCCATTACAATTTAATGTCATATTTTATCTGAACCGAATACCAGAATAAAACAGCCGAACAATCATGATTTTTGTAAGGTGTTATTAATCAAATAGAACGATTTTTCAACAAGTTGTATCCAATGGACGCTGTGCCGCACGGCAATTTATATCTACTCGTGCTAGTTTGTTGGAAACGGCTTAATTCGAAGGATACTTACATCAATTTAAGTTTTTATAAAAAAGGTAACTTTACCCCACAATCCCGTTCTTATAAAACAAAAGTCAGCTTTCGAACAATAATTGTCGTGAAAGAGAAAAAACGCAATCGAACTTATCCTACCTTTTCAAGACGAGCACATGTATACTTTTTGCTCTTATGATAGATATTTTGAAACAAAGATAGTGAGTGCAATAGTAATTTTAATTCAGTTATTTGAAGTTTGAATAGCTTTTTTCGTTGAATAGCAGTTGTAGAGAGAAACACTTACCTGATGTTTCGTCGTACCCCCACCATTGTTCCCAGCGGTCATCTATATCTGAAACATAACACAAAATTTGAGGATCAAACAGTTCAAAACCATTCATCATCGACATGACCTCTACAAATGAAATATCTGAATACACAGATGAGCACAAGAGAAATGTATACAAAGATGTAAAGTGTATTGGGTTTGTAAATAATTCAAATTGACTGTCAATGGTTCTTCATAAAACAAGTTTGCACATCGCTAAGATCAAATAACATTTCTTTAATCATCTTTAAAAATAGAACCGACCTTGAAGCACGCTAGGATAAAATTGCAGGTGCATCGAGTTCACAAGTTAATTGACCTTCAAGAATTCCCTAGACATTGTTTTTAATCTAAAAATTTTCAGTAACGCAAACCCGTCACTAGTTATTACCAGTTTTAATAGAACAATTAGACTCATGGATGATCCTCATTGAGAGACAAAAACAACCATCACCAAGAAATAATTTTGAAAATTAGAATTAATGAATGAAGAAGAGAACTTAACTTCAATAATCTTGTTTGGGAACTCTTTAACTAAGGTATATATTGTGATTATACTGTCGCAAATGGAGATTTACTAACAAAGCTAAACGGTTTCGGTTTTGTTTTTGCGTTTGTTTTACAACCAGTCAACAGTTAGATTATTAAGGACCTGTCAAAACACAAATAAGCTGCCTTCAGACTAAAAAGCAACAACAGTCGGCACAAAATGTTAAAATAGGAGAACTTTTTTTTTGTATAAAATGATGTATTTACAAAATAAACAAAAAATAAATCAGTAAATGAAAACTGCCACAGTTTTTTTTCATTTTATTGGTTTCTTAGTCTAGTTTCCTTCCTTTAGCAGTGCTATGAAAATGTTTACACCAAAAATGAACTATAGGCATTCCATTTTAGCGCATAACTAATTTTAAACTGACTGGCGCGGTGAACAATAAGCATATCCAAAATAATTACAGCAGGAAACAGCACGAGGCATAAGCATGATTTAGAGGAATGAGTTCACCGAGAAGGAAATAAATTATAATGCCTAGAGGGAAATTTGTACATTTTGTTCATGGTTGCCTCCTTAGCAGTTAGATAATACAAGAATGCTTTTATAAGCTTATAACATAAAACTAAATCGTTCTTCAGGAAACCGCGTTGATGAAATCTCATATCAATCAGACAAACACTCGCAGCATTTATAAGAGAATGGCTGAATACTAAAGCAAGTCTTAACGTATAGGACAAGAGAATGAAAATGATCAAATATTGATAATACAGATTATATATCCAACATCCCATAATCTAGACACCGCCATGAACTTTGTAAGGAGTGTGTCCCGCTAATATAAAGAAATGATAAGCTCCTCTTAAGGGACAAATTGTGCGATTCCGTTCAAGAGAGTTGTGATACTTTCGAAATAAACAGCGCAACATTAAGATTTAAATCATAAGTTGCCCAAAGCAATTAAAATGACAACTTTTAAGACGTCCACGCTTACGGAAACATAAAACATAGAATAAGCGTGATGCCTACATTGTATTTACAAGTTTAAATGTCTATTACTTCTGCCTGATATGCTTTTAATTGGCAGATATCCGTCATCACCAAGCATAAGCAGCACTTTAACGCATCAATAACGCTATCCGAAATACAAAATATTTGACATACATTATGACACAACGAAAGTGTTTACTATAATGTCGGACTACTCGAACGGCAGACAATTTTATCTGATTATGGCGTGCATCGAAAGGTGTTTTAGCACGTCATGTCTACGCCATTGGTGTCACACCGGACGTCTTGATTGCTTTCCTGAGACACTCTCATTGTTTACGTCCCCAGAGACTCCATGACAAACAGTCTCGTGCGCGTGTTCTAATGAGAACTTGGCACGAGATTTTACGTATTGCATTGGATACATTCTCTAAACAATCATCAATGAGGAACAAGAGAACACACCTGAAGTGTAACGATAACACTTCAGGGAAATATGTATGCTCCTCTTGTCTTTATTTATTTATAAGTAAAGCCTACAAGGCGATACCATCCTGATTTTAGAAAATCAGTACACAGCCGGAATATCCATAAAAAAATGCGCTTACCGGAAGTCTGCCTGCAGGAAGTCAATTACTTTTATGTAAAGTAATGACTATAGTTTCAGCTACCGGAAGTTACATTGATATACATTTAATCAGATTTGACGATGTCATACTTACGCAAACCAACGTAATAAAATTGGTACTTTTCCAATCAGAAATCAGAACCACAGCCTGGAATACTTTGAAGCAGGAGACACCAATTCAAGCAGTTTTAATCACAGTTATTGCTTAAAAGATGAACATTGATTAAAGAATTGGTTTTATTGCACGTGGACGTCAAACTAGAACGTACTCATTTTCATTGTTTGTATCAGCATAAATTAATTATTTAGAAGATTCTTTTACTGTTATAGTTCTTTTTGAATAAGTGAGTTATTAAATAGTAGACCAAGAAATACACATATACATTGATGTATAAATGTCACCCTGTATTGTCAGTTTGCAACACCAGCTATTATTATGATACGATGATCATTATCTTTACGTGGAAATGGACATATTCAGCGTAAATAAATCCAGTTCTGTTAATAACAGGGAGAACATTTCAGATACAACAACCAAATACTATATAAAAACATTGTTTACAGTAGTAAGATGTTAATGGGTACATGGGAGCGTGTGTTTTTATTTCGTTCGAATTATCTTTTAAGAACTCGCCGCGGAGAGAGGCGATATTTGGTGACCGCCTTGCCATAGATGAAGAAATTACGGGGAGAACATTTGACGTTAAGGTTGATATATGTGACCTGTACCTTTACGTACTGGAAAGCGTTGCCATGGTTGTCTAGTCATGTGTTGTGTTAGAGCATGTTACTTGATTTTGGGCAAGTTTATGAAAGCCTGCACTATCGTCACCTACGGAAACATATTTATCACCATATTCTAGCTGTTGATGTAAAACATTTTATTAATCCAAGTTGACAAGTTGTACATCGTGTTTATAACATAGCATCGCAACCTTTCTCTGCTAAACCTTTTGTGGGTTTAGTTAGGCTGTTTTGATAAACCAGCAGGGAGAAAACTGAGCGCAACAAATAATCATTTCAACGCTTGATTTAAAGGAGCAATGACACAATAGTCGTCAACCTACAAATACCGGTATTAATTTCAAAGACTACCGTTATCCTTAAGTCAGCAAGTATTTTCGATTTTGTTTTCTTTTCCATCTTTTATCTCATTCATAAAGCATCAAACTAAATCAACTGGTTTTTTATAAGATATCGTCCATATTATAGAAATCATGTCACAGTATAACGATAAGATTTACATGGAATTGCTCGAACAAAACGACTATAAATATATGGAAGTGTAAGTATCACCCAAAGCACTGATATTAAACCTCTGGTATTTGTTCAAATGGATGCATTTGTTCAAAAGGATAAGTTTGTTCAAATGGATGACCTTGACCCATTTTCAAGATTAGAGGAGTGGAATTTGTTGAAATCGATAGCTAAAAGACATGTTAGGATAAAGGTCTGCCGAATTCGTTGAAAAGAATGATATTGACTCACAACGTCACTGGGATCAGATGTGTTACAATCGTCAAACAATTGAGTTACGTAAAATGTTCATGACCCTGATACAGAACCATTAATATGATTGGATGAAGGACTACCAATTTTGTTCAAATGTATGATCATCAAACACGTCCAGGGACACTACAAATACGATAAAATCTTGGCAAATCTTCTCACTCAACCCGGGTTACATTTATTTGGGCTGGAACGTTGGAATGAAGGTCCACCAGATTTATCTTTGCCCTGGCAGTATTATACATATGGAAATGCCACCATAAAGATTCCAGACATTGCCAACCGTAAAGGTTAAACTATCAGCAGGCGTATATCTCGCCCACCTCTGCCATCGTAAGCATTCGATCAATAATTAACATTGCATTACTAATCCTGAAAGTAACAACTTTTTTTCTTCCTTCAACACACATTTTTTATATGACATCACGTATTTAGTTTTGATTGCCCACTACTTTCTTTCCCTTTCTGGATTTAGGATATGAACCGAAGTAGATAAACAGAGATCTCCGAAAAAGTACGGTGAATAACAACACGACATATATTGATGAAGATTATGTGTCTCCTTGTCCATCTTTGACAACAACAACGCAGATATTTGTCAATCAAATCGGTGTTTTATATGTTCTCAATTCTCAAATCTGTGACGTTGGTCTCAGATAGGGTACCATTAGGCATGGTAACAAGCATGAAACACATCTAGTTTATAAACTAAAAGTAAGATATTGATTGCAACTATACGTGTAGACTTTTTGTCAATGTATTGACTGATTTTATCTAAAGAAAGATGACCATAAAACACGAACTAAAATACTTGGACAAAACCAATGTTTTTTAATGATTACACAAATCAGTTTTCTTTCTCACGTTTAATTTCGTCAGCAAACGAAAAAAGGGAGACAAGCAGCTAAAAAATGTATTTTATTTTCATTGTTTAGATTGGCATTATGCGTGTTCTCTGTTAGTTTATTTGTTTGAGATTTTGAGAAGGAAGACGGTTTCATGAGATGATGGAGCGCGTGACAGACGCAATACAGTGTCCTCATGCTGAAATTTGATAACTTCAAACCGGTACCAAGACGTCCAACCAGTTGTGTATATAGACGTAGAGACCATCGTAAGGGTACCTTCGTAAGTAACATTGGATATGATAAGGATTTCAATTAATTACATGGACATAATAATTCTATGTACATTTAATTGTCAAAGCAAATAAAAATACCACACAACTTCGAAAATAAGACGCAGCTTATTTCCTTTGAAGCAAATACAGGTAAATTTATGTAAGAATTTCAGGATAGGATTATTTTTTAGTCGTCTTTTGTTTTCGAGATTTTAGGGTGGGTCATTTATGATAACTTCGTTTGCAAATAATTCATGGGTAATATATTCCGCTAAAATCATTAA